ATTGGGGTAATTTGTGGATCTGCAACAATACTATATTGGGGATATGGGTGGATCTGCATCAATACTATATTGGGGATATGGGAGATTTGCATCAATACTATAGTGGGGATATGGGAGCATCGGCAACAATAATTTATTTGGGGTAATTTGTGGATCTGCAACAATACTATATTGGGGTAATTTGTGGATCTGCAACAATACTATATTGGGGTAATTTGTGGATCTGCAACAATACTATATTGGGGTAATTTGTGGATCTGCAACAATACTATATTGGGGATATGGGTGGATCTGCAACAATACTATATTGGGGATATGGGAGATTTGCATCAATACTATAGTGGGGATATGGGAGCATCGGCAACAATAATTTATTTGGGGTAATTTGTGGATCTGCAACAATACTATATTGGGGTAATTTGTGGATCTGCAACAATACTATATTGGGGTAATTTGTGGATCTGCAACAATACTATATTGGGGATATGGGTGGATCTGCATCAATACTATATTGGGGATATGGGAGATTTGCATCAATACTATAGTGGGGATATGGGAGCATCGGCAACAATAATTTATTTGGGGTAATTTGTGGATCTGCAACAATACTATATTGGGGAAATGTGTGGATCTGCAACAATACTATATGGAGGCTATAACTTTATTACCTGCAGGTAAAAAAAAAGTTATGTGCCTACTGCAGGGAGTGGTTGGAATTAGATGGACTAAACAAAAATATTCTCAAAAAGACACATACACGCACACATACACACACAGAAACAATGATCATGTAGAAGAAAATAATTTTACAATACAAACATGTTACTTAATGCATAAAACGGAACTGGTACGTTTAAAAGGTCAACATTCCTTCCTCCACCCTTAAGTTGCTCATTTATATGGCACTTTGTATGTCTTTTCTGGGCAAATAGATTTAATTCAATAAAAATCATCTCAGTGTGAAAAATACTCGATTTTTTTTAGCTCCTAAGATCTATATTGAGTATTTGCTTAAGTGATGCAAAAAGATATTTCCCATCTCTCAATGTTAAATCTATAGGTGTTTTCTGCCCAGCTTTTGAAGATTTGAGAGTAGGCTTTGTCATTGATTTCATGATGTATATATTCAAACACTTTCTTCAGATGGATTGAAGCTTGTATCAATGAAGAGTTACCTCCCACCACTGAGCTAGAAGAAGGCTTACGGAACGGTGTCTTCCTTGGTAAACTGGCCCACTTCTTTGCTCCAAACGTGGCTCCCCTTAAGAAGATCTATGATAAAGAGCAGACCAGATATAAGGTGGCTTAATGTTTTGTGAAACCTTTTTTTTTTAAATTTAAAAAAAAAAATAGTTTATTAGTCCACAAAGATGTTCACCAGGCTCCTTGTAGAATTTGAGTTAAAATTAAGGTTAAAAAAAAATATCCTTCACAAGAAAAAACATCGATCAGATGCAAGTAGTTATTAGTGTCAATATATGTATATTTATAAAGATATCTTTCACATGAAAAAACATTGATCAGATGCAAGTAGTTATTAGTGTCAATATATGTATATTTATAAAGATATCTTTCACATGAAAAAACATTGATCAGATGCAAGTAGTTATTAGTGTCAATATATGTATATTTATAAAGATATCTTTCACATGAAAAAACATTGATCAGATGCAAGTAGTTATTAGTGTCAATATATGTATATTTATAAAGATATCTTTCACATGAAAAAACATTGATCAGATGCAAGTAGTTATTAGTGTCAATATATGTATATTTATAAAGATATCTTTCACATGAAAAAACATTGATCAGATGCAAGTAGTTATTAGTGTCAATATATGTATATTTATAAAGATATCTTTCACATGAAAAAACATTGATCAGATGCAAGTAGTTATTAGTGTCAATATATATTTTTTTAAAAAGTGAGGATCTGCAACACATGAAAAAACATCATTCAGGTGCAATTAGTTATAAGTGTCCATAAATAAAATGAACCAAATAATTATTTAAGAAAAAAATTGTAGTTAATGTTTTCCAGACTTCATTATCAAGAAAGTAGTTGTAACAATAGTATGAATATTTTAAAATTTAAATTATATATTTGTAGTCTGGATTATTTAAAATACTTAGATCGATATGTAATGTCTATTAATAGCCAGGATTATTTAACTTTAATGTTATGTATATGTGTAATCTGGTTTATGTACAGTACTAAAATGACACAAAAGTTGACAGGAACCCACAAACTTTTGTTTATAGGACTGAAACAAAAAAGAAAAAAAAAATACAGTGTCACTGACAATTTTGTATTTTATTTCCTGTCTCCAGAGTCGAGGTCTGCACTTCCGCCACACAGATAACATCAATCATTGGCTCAAAGCCATGGAGGAAATCGGCTTACCATCAGTAAGCGTTGGCTTGTCACATGTTTAGCAATAGCTGTAAATGCCTTCCAAGTTTAGAAGATACAACTTCCACAGAGTCCTGTTTATCCATGTTTACTTGTAAATGACTTCCATGTTTCGAAGATACAACTTCCACAGAGTCCTGTTTATTCATGCTTACCATGCTCTTGCCTGATACGATCTCCAGATTGATTTCACATTAGCCCCAATAATAATGTACTGTCTTACACTAACCACTGAGGTTTTAATGGTAGATTTAAACACACTTGACCCATTTGTACTTCGAATCTTGCAATGACTATGTTTTTTCAAAATTATGGATGTTGGGGGGATTTTTTGTGTTGACACATCTACTGAGATGCATGTTGTACCATAATCAGCCAGCACATTACCATCTTTATGTTACAGGAAACATCCCTGAAATATGTTTTCTTTTGTTTCTAGATATTTTACCCAGAAACGACAGATATCTATGATAGAAAAAACATGCCCAGGGCTGTCTACTGTGTCCATGCTTTGAGGTAAATTTAATGTTAGTGAACCCTGGAACGGCAGCATACATAAACTGATACTTTTCTTATTCAGTTTATCCATCTGCCTATGTATACCACACTGATTCAGTCTGTCTGGCTATCTCCCTATGTATAATCACACTAGTGTAGTCTGTCTGGCTATCTCCCTATGTATACCACACTGATTCAGTCTGTCTGGCTATCTCCCTATGTATAATCACACTGATTCAGTCTGTCTGGCTATCTTCCTATGTATACCACACTGATTCAGTCTGTCTGGCTATCTCCCTATGTATACCACACTGATTCAGTCTGTCTGGCTATCTCCCTATGTATAATCACACTAGTGTAGTCTGTTTGGCTATCTTCCTATGTACATCACACTAATGCAGTCCATCTGGTCTGATCATTCCATGCACACATGCACAATAACAGGCTTATTTATTTCTTTTCTTCCACCAGTTTATTCTTGTTTAAGCTGGGCCTTGCTCCACAAATACAAGATTTGTATGGCAAAATCAAATTCACAGGTACCACCTTTGTTTTCAAATCGTGTTTTTATTTTAAATTTCAAGATCAGGCTTTAGTAAAGTGGGTTGAGATGTTAATTTAAAACTATTTGTGAGGGAGACGTTGATTAAGTAGTAATACTATTTGTGGAAGAGATCTTGTTAAAGTAATAGTATTTGTCTCATCTTGTCGGACCCTTATTTTATTAAACTAAGTAATGATGTTTTTAATTATGCACAGATATAGAGTTGGATGTTTTATTGTTGTTTTTACTAATTTTACTCCCCTTTTTTTAGAGGAAGAAATCAGTGCAATGAGAAGAGAGCTTGAAAAATATGGCATACAGATGCCAGCTTTTAGCAAGATTGGTGGCATCCTTGCCAACGAAGTAAGTCCTTGGGATTCCACCATAACTTCATTCTAAAGCAAAGTTTATGAATGGTATTGGAAAAAAATAATTTGTGAACCTTGAAGTTTGAGGGGGTGGGGAGTGTATAAGTGTAAAAAATTAAGGCTGTTTTCAATACTCTCAAACTAAATGTAGAATTTAAGGGTTCATATGCTTTATCAAACTTCTATTGGGGGGCAAACCACCAATGGGAGACCATGTTACAATTCAAGAATGTCTGCCTATAAGTTGTAACTGAATTTAAAATGTTTTTAAAAAAAAATATTTTCAGTTGACTGTTGATGATGCTGCATGTAAGTAAAATTTGTTTAAATTAATTATATATAGACCGTCTTTTACAACATTAGTCTCTAAGGAGTTATAAGTATCTCTATGAATTTGCTGTATTTGCTGTGTAAACTGTAGTCATGAAACCCTTAAGTTCTGAGGATTCACCCATCCCACAGTTGATAGTTTAAAAATGATACATGTCCCCAGTGCATGCTGCAATAATTGCCATCAATGAAGCCATCGATCAGCAGATAGCAGCAGATACTTACACAGCCCTACAGAATCCATCAGCCATGTTAATTCATCTGGATGCTTCAAGTCAGGAAGAATACCAACAAACTCTTTACGCTGCCAAAAATGTCAAAGCTGAGAATGCAAGAAATAAGGTATTGTACCAGAATTATGTATTGACGATCAAAAGTATTTGTATGCATTAAGGAAATATTAACAGTTTGCATGAGAAAATTTTTAATTGGAGCATATCTCACTGTCTAGGGAAGGAGAGGGAAAGGAAATGGTTTAAAATTTTATTCCTCATTTAAGGCTTCCATCCATCCATCCCTGTGGCGCCACAGTCAATGTAAGGCTTTGGCCTGCCTCACCACTTCCTTCCACTCATACCTAACTAATGCTTTTCTTTTCCATGACTGGATTCCCAGCTGTTGTAGATCTTTTTCCACATCATCCATCAATCTAAGCCTTTGAGCCGTTTTCCACTGGGGTTTTGGTGATATAGCCTCTTCACTCCTCTGTCATTTGGCATTCTTTTTAAGTGTCCTGCTCAGCGTAGCCTACCCTTTTTTTATTTCTGCTACTATCGTGGGATCCTGATATAGACAATACAATTCCTGGTTCGTTCGTATTCTCCATCCATATTCATCCCTTGTTGGTCCATATATTTAAAGGAGAACTTTTCTCTCCCATGTGTTTAATAGGTTTTCTGCCATTTTTGTTAGGGTCCAAATTTCACTTGCGTATGTTACAACTAATCTGATTACAATTTTATATATAGTTTTCTTTGTTTTTCTTGTAATGTTTATTCTTTTGAGTATTTTCTGACTACTGAAGTATGCCCTGTTTCTGGACGATATTCTTTCTTTTATTTCTGTTAGTAATTCTTTTCTTTCATTTAATAAAGATTCTAGGTATTTGAATTGATTTTTAGCTTTTCAAAAGTGTGGTTTCTAATTTTAATGGTTTCATTTGTCTGTTCTTCTCTTATAATAATAGTCATGTATTTTGTTTTTTGGTTGTTAACTTCCAGCCCTGCTCGTAGTGATGAATCTTCTAATTCAATAAAGGCTTTTGATATGTCTTTACTACTTTTCCTTAACATTGCTATGTCATCAGCATATGCAAGATACTGAAGGGCTTGATTGTAGAGAGTGCCTATTGGTTGTGGGTCTTGGGTCTCCCTCAGAAAGTATCCTGCTATTGTTCCTCAAGTGTCATTATGCATGCTCCTTACATGCTGAGGCTTTTATAATGGTACACTATCATATGAGTCCCAGTTTGTGTATCCCCCTTAAACTTAGACCCGCAATAAGTCAGAAATTAATTATTGATCTTAAAGAAAAAACTAATTAATTGCGATTCCTTTTATTTTGTTTTGGGCCCTACATGGGCTGTAGCACCACTGATGATGATTTATGTTGTTTTGCATCTAAAAACTAAGTAGCCTTGAACAAGCTATAATTTGTTTGCATTACCCTGTGGAGTAATGTTTCTAAATGGAACCCAGCTTAGTAGAGTTGTGAACCCTGCTTTAGCAGACTGCTGAAATATAATTTGTTTTTAAAGCAACCTCACTTTGTAGATTCCTGATGCCTGTTCTGTTATGATATGCAATATCCAGTTGTCTATATGCTCAATTTCAAGAGTAATCCATCAAGCGTTTTTCTGTCGACATTCATATATTTGTTCATTCTTCAAATGAACATTGTTAATGAACAGAATTTTAACATTTATTTAGAGCATTGATCCTGAAAGAACATTTGAACATGATGTCTATGATGAGCTGTTGACACAAGCAGAGATACAAGGAAATATCAGCAAAGTGAACAGTGAGTAGAATCTAATTTTGACATTAGGCAGACATCATACAAAAATTTAGCAATAAAAGTGATGTTTTTAGCAATGTTATACACATGAAATCAATTATTGAAACTTAGGTTTGTGGAAATATGTTACCCTACACCTTGGAATCAGTGCTATAGAAAATAATGACGAAATAATTTTTTATTGAAATTTCAAAGTATATGATAGGATCTAAAATATTGCATGGTTCTTTTTGAAAGTCTACAGACATAATAGGTTACAAATTCTTCTTTGTATCAAAAAAGTATATGTTTCTGTGTGTGTCCAATAACATTGTCAAGGTTTATTTTGGATCATTATTCTCTATATATGCAACTTGATTTATTGACTCTTCCAGCAAACTCGGCTCTGAGTAAGATCCATGCTGCCCTGGTGAATGGTGATAAAGCTGCTCTCCTGGCAGCCCTTCAGGCTCCTGCCCTGGGGCTCAAGAACGTCAAGTCGGAAAACATTGATTTTTATGTTGAAAAACTCTTACAGCTAAGGCAAGACAAATCAGAGGTGAATTTAAAAATAAATAAAAATATAAAATTAACAATTTGTTCTTGTGAAAGCAATTGTGAAGAAAATTTTAATAAAAACAATTTGCACAATCATATTAAATTTGTCATGACAAGTTCCCAAAATCTGGTCAGTTTCAGTAATTAGCCTTGAAAATGAGCATACATTTAAAAATGTTATTTATTTAAAAATAATATTTTCACACTTAATTCTTCATTCATCTTGTGGCATTTGTTTCACCAGGGTGTGGAAGCTGATACTGCTTTGAGTAAAGATGAAATACAAAATGCTGTGAATGAAGCCAATCTTGATGCTGATGTGGAGTATCAGAGTAAGTTCATCTATTAAAGTTTCTTTTTTTTATGGCTGGAATATAAATTTCATAAATCAAATGTTAAATGTCATTCTTATCAAATTTATTTTTAGATAAAAGTATATCCATAATGAATAATATGTGCATATACCGTAGGATTGTTATGTAAAAACACCCTTTCTGTGTTTTTGATGGTTCTTAAAAAGTATTACCAAAAAATCCAAATTTTATTTTTGCGTTGGCATATATCTTTATTAAATTACTATTTATTCATTATGTCTTGTAAACTTGTATAAATGTATTTTGTTTTATCCAGTTTACAAACAGTTCATTGAACAAGTTTGTGCCATACATCAAGTTTTCAGATTTACCTGTTATTTTCTCTACAGGGGCCCAGACTGTTATTTTGGTCAACAAGGCATTGACCAGCAGGGATAGTGACCTCTTAATAAAAGCCCTACAGAATCCCGCAGTAAAACTAATTAATGTTGATCCCAATGCAGCTCAGTTGTACCTGGAAGAATTAGGGAATATGAAGGATGAAAAAGGAAATGACCTTGAGTTTGAAGAGCTTGACCCTGCACTTCAAGGTTAATTAATGTTAACATATTTGGGATCTTGCCCCTCCCAATATTTTTGTTATTTAAAGGGGCTTATAGATTATAGTTTAAGAAACGGACGTGTAAATGGTCTTTAAAAAATTGTGCCAAAACTCATTTCATTCACCAGGCCAGATAAGATATTTATTGTTTGTATGTAGGAGTATGTCTTTGTCTGATTAAGATTTATAACCATCTTGCATATTTGGTTTCATATACAATTTGTCTGTCATAGTTACAATTATAACTTTTTGAGAGATTAAAAAGAAGGGGGTGGGGGGGGGGGAAGAAATTTGATCTTCTGTTGTAGCAAACAGTTTTCTCATAAATCTGAGTTCTTAAACATGACATGAGTATGAAAAGATTTGGTAGCCAAAGATTTTTCTTGTCATTATAATTAAAGCCCACATAACTTCTGAATGTGGAAAAATTTTTGACTTGCAACAAGTAGTCTCCATTATCTTTGATTTGTTCTTTCAGTCACTGGCACTTTTAGGAATTGATCAAAGAAATAGAATCTTTTAGTATCCCGTCTATGACATTTATTTACAGTAAGCTTTCTTGTGGCCACTTTTTTTTAATTTAAAGTACTTAAATAAGATAAAAGTGGATCCTAATTTGTGAGTTTTTTCTATGTTTATTTAAAAGCCGCTTCAAGTGGGGCTAAAGTTGGTTGTCTGTCTTTTCAGTCATTGCTGCTGTTTTGGCTATCAACAAATCAATTGAAACTGGAAATTCCCAAGCAACATTCAATGCTCTTCTTAACCCTGCAGCACACATCACAGAACTAGATGAGCATAATGCTGACAAATATCAAGCCAGCCTGGCAACCCAGAAATCTAACAAAGCAGATGTTGGTGAAAGTTTATTTTTGGCTATATATACTATAATTTTACTTATTTCAAATAAGATTGATAATTATGACAAAAATTTGAACTTTTTCTCTCTGGCTGAATGTTTTTTGTTTTTTTTCCAGCTTTCCAATACTCTCCTCACACATGCTGAAATAGTTGCATGTGTTAATAGTGTCCATGAACAAGTTTCTGAGGAACATGAAAGTAAGGTTTTATTCTATGAATACTTCATTTCAAGAAGAAGAAAAAAAAGTTTTTATTGTATTTACTTAATTTTAAATTAAATTGGGTATATAGGATCAGTATAAGGTCTTGGTTTAATTTCATTGAACCACCCCAAATAAATTCTTTACATGCATTTTGGTTTTCATTTGTGTAATTGTACGTGATTTATCATTTAGGTGATTATAGAGATTGATTTTTGGTATGGGAATGGTTTTAATTAAAGGTAGTGTATGTAAAACCTAATAGACTAAAGATATATATAAACCCAAATACGTTAAAAATACTAACCACATAGAAACAGGTACACAATTAATCTCCACATCTAAACATGCAATCATTAAACAAATAATTAACATTCCAACCCCTCCTTGTCCTTGATCTTCCCCTTGAAAAACAGGAAAAACTGATTTTTGTGGGCGGGGCTGAAACTTTGATAGAATGTGTTGTCATTGGCAAGTAGTCTATGTGCCATGTTTCCGCTCGATAAGTTGACAGGATATGGGTCAATTAGCGGTCTGAAGATTTTCCCAGCAGCATTTCACAAACAAAAGCAAAGTTAATATAAAGGATTAAAAAAATGATATCTCTTATATATACAGTGGAACCTCTCATAACGAGTTTAATTCGTTCCAGATTCTTACTCGTTAAGCGAAACACTCATTAAATGAAAGAATTTTTCCCAAACAAATCAATGTAAAATACGATAATGTGTTCCATGCTGAAAAAATACTAATTTTTCAACAATTTTTATTAACATTTATTCAAATAAAATTACTCATGAATTGTTAAGGAGTGTAACAACTTGGAATACAATTTAGATTTGAAACAAAAACTTAAATAAAAATATGAATTTATGACAAATAATTAATCCTTCTTAACTAGAAAACTGTCTTAAGACATTTGTTTTTGCCGATGCTTCAAAATTTGACGAAAATGTGTCACAGCATTATCATTGAATAAATTTGTAGCACGAATAGCCAGCTCCTTATTAGGGTGATGCTTCTCAATGTATTATGCAACAGTTTCCCTTTGAAGCATCCATCTCCTTAATTTTGTTTTTGTTCTTGAGAATAGTGCAGATAGTTGATGTTGACCGATTGTATGTGCGCGCTAGATAAGCCACGCTCACACCTTGTTCTCGCTTTTCAATGATTTTACTTTTCATTTCAACAGTTATTTTTTATCTCTTATGATTGTCTTCTTGTGGTTTTTTCTTCGAAGACATTTTAGCACAGGTTATTACACTTTGCACATAAAAAAATTACGAATACTGCCTGAATGCAAAATTTGTAAAAACTGGTGATCACACACGAAAACAATACACTAACAGACCGGAAGTCCCAGTCCCGGCTCACAAATGAATGTCAAGAAAAGGGGACTTCCCCTTTCTGCGTAACTCGTTATGCAAAATATCGCTCGTTAAGGGAGCAAATTTTCAAAAAAAAATTTTGCTTGTTATGCGAATTACTCGTTATGAGAGGTGCTTGTTATGAAAGGTTCCACTGTGTATATATATATATATATATATATATATATATATATATATATATATATATATATATATATATATATTAATGTTACGCTTTTGGTGTTGTGGACTGCTTCCATTTCCAGCTGCTTCCTATTCAGCATATTTGGTATTGAGAGGATATTACAAATAATTCTATATATTTAAAAAACAGTATAGTTCAATAATGAGTTCAAAAGGGCGCAAAATATAATTCCCGATAACTTCACTAAATGATATATTTTTTAAAACAATGCAACTGTGTTTGGTGCGTAATATTCTCTTTTTGGAAAATGAAATCGTCTCAATTTAAGTATGGTGTGAAATATATTCTGTTTGAAAGTGGTAGGGACATCAGAATATTTCATATAGTTCAAGGGTGTGAAATAAAAAGTGTGCAGTGAAGTATCATCGAGGAAGGGGTGAAGCAAAAATTGGGATTCTTAAATGTGCGTTATTTGAGTTCATGTTTTGTCAAGTAACTTAAGGAGATAGGAAGTCCACGCATTGCTGTCGCAAATGTTTGGTGGGCTATATCTAGTGTATTAATAATCTTTAATTTTACTTTCTCAGAAAGAATTTTTATTTTTTAATTGTAGTCATCAAAATTATATTTATTAAGAGATGTTTAAAAATATATCTTTTTAGGAATAAGGGCTATCACAATGATCAATGAAGCTATTGATAAAGGTGAAGAAGAAGAAACTGTCAAGGCCCTGCAGTTTCCTGCTGCAAAGTTACATGATATTCAACTGGCACAAGCGTTTCACTACCAAGTCCTTCTGGCCAAGCAGAAAGACAAGAAAGCAGAAGTAAGCCAAATCAAAACTGCTGTCTGTTCAAGAGGCTTATTTTAAAAATATAAATAAAATGAATGTATCAAAGTCAAGAAGCTTTTTTCTAGTTTTTTTTTTTCCTTTATTCAAAACTTACAGATTACAATAGAACTCTAAAGCATAATATGGGATTGTCTTTCAATGTGGGATTTTGGTTATAAAGAAATGGGCTACCTGCCAGAACTCCATTTTTTGAAAACATTCCCATAGTATGCAAAAATCTTCACATTTTTAATTTATATTTTATTTATACATGAATGTATTCCTTGAAGTTACTTTTGTTATTAGTTTGATATTTTAAAGAGGGCCTTTGTAGCAAAAATTCATTTTATTTTGTTCTTGTTCTAAATTGATGCATTTAACTCCATGTTTTTCATTTTCTTTATCATAAAAATAAAATTAAAAGAAAATTTAAAAAAAAAATTAAATAGAGAACACTATTTGAACCAAATTTTAATTCTAAAATATCTCTTAGAATTTTTTCACCATGAAGCTATTCTGAGTACACATCATGTTTATTATTTTTATTTTTTTATTTTTTGTTGTCATTACCAAGCATTTGCATAATGTTCAGAGGTTTAATTTTCCATTCTATTAACCTATTATATTACATTTTCAATAAAAACTGCAAGCAGTGTGCAAGATTTTGTTTCTCTATTGAATTGTTTTATCTGCTATCCTACCTATACAGAGATTTAAATTCTGTAATCCCTACGACTGGTGGCAATTGTGCTTTGCCATTCAAATTGATCCAAATAGTGATTAAAATATTTGACAAGTTTGTATCTCTCTGTAGGAGAGTAAAGATGATGCTGCTGTTCTGTGGCTGGAAGAGATTCAATCTTGTGTGGATAAAGCTAATTCTAACTGTGTTGAAGGATTGAAAGGTGAGCCATTTCAGTTAATCTTCTATCTGGCTGGGAGTTTGAGAGCAACCATTTTTCTCTATCATTGCAAGGGGTTTTTGTAATGAATTTTTAATTAATGCTTATACACCACTGGATGGCTGTAAGTACGATTGAACATGTTTGTGACAAAAGCCGCTGTTTGATGTTCACTTGTCATAAAAGCAGCTGTTTGATGTTCACTTGTCACAAAAGCCGCTGTTTGATGTTCACTTGTCACAAAAGCCGCTGTTTGATGTTCACTTGTCACAAAAGCCGCTGTTTGATGTTCACTTGTCACAAAAGCCGCTGTTTGATATTCACTTGTCACAAAAGCCGCTGTTTGATGTTCACTTGTCACAAAAGCCTCTGGTTGTTTTACGTCTAGGTTAGATAGGAGATGAGTGTATATGGAACAGTAAATGTTTTACAATGTGTAATTTTACATAATGAGGGGATGTCAAGGACTGGGCCAGCAGGCTGCAGTTTTTCAACTCCAGTTTAAATGAGACCAAACAGAAATACGCTTCTTTTGTGGAAATGATGTATAAATAAATTTTGAACCAATTGAAAGAAAAGAGCTATTTGATGATCCATCATATACTGGTTGTACTATTCAAATACATTTTTTTTTAAAAAGTGCCATTAACATTTTTGTGCTAAATTTCTGTTTCTAATTATTTCTTTTCTCAATTTTTATCAACCAGTGTCCGTGGGAGTTGCAGCGGTTAACAAAGCTTTGAGTGATGGCAATAAAGCAGCCCTTTTGTCAGCCTTGACCTCACCTGATCTAACGCTGCATTCTGTGACTGGAGACTGGATAGATGGTTACCAACAAGCCCTTTTGACAGCAGTGCAGAAATCATCTCAAGATGGTTGGTCACATTTACTCATTGATGATATCAAGATGGTTGGTCACATTTAATCATTGATCATCACAAGATGGTTGGTCACATTTAATCATTGATCATCACAAGATGGTTGGTCACATTTAATCATTGATCATCACAAGATGGTTGGTCACATTTAATCATTGCATCTAGTTATTATTGCCATTTAAAAAAAATTGCATTCTCACATGACTTTAAAACCTAATTAAAATGAACATTGTTGCTATTCCACTTGCAGGTGAGACAGGAAGTGGTTGGATGATGAACCGCACCAAGGACAGCACCAAGTTCTTCTATAATGTCCACACGGGAGATCATGCATGGACTAGAGGAAACACCATCATCAAAGATTATTCTCTGCTCACTAGAGAAGATATTCAGGTGGTTTTCCCTGGCTACAATGTTAACAGCTAACACAAAAATCTAAAAATTTAGTAGAAATTAACTTTGACCCTATGGATATTTTGTCTGGGCTTTATTATAAATATGTACACTCACAGATTTACTTATGTCTGTATTCATCAATTTGTATATTACAAATTTTGTCTATGAACTATATAGCTTACTTTTCTCTGGTTCAGTCTGTGAAAATAAAATTTTGATTTTGCTAAAACAGTTTACACTCATGAAAGATTTTATCTTACCATAGTGACGGTTAAAGTTTTGTTTATTTCCAGCGTGTAGTTTCTGAAGTGACAGCCAAGTATGACAGAGAAATGTTATTTAAATCTAACGAAGGCTTAATCACAAAGATCCAGGCGAACATGAGGGGCCATATGGCTCGTAAGGCCTACAAGGAGAGGGTCAATTTTATGAAGAAGCAGCTACCTGCCATTGTTAAAATACAGGTAAGGCTTGTAATTTTGAAATTATTCAACGAAATTGACTTTCCCATTTGTTATACAAATTGGGATATAGGAAAGCGATAAAATGGTTATAATTAAATGGAACTTGGAGAGACCATTAATTTTATGATAAAATTATAAATTATATTTTTTATATAAATTCTGAAATTCTAAATTGTTTTAAGGCTTGTTGGCGAGGAGCTAAACAGCGCCATAAGTACAAGGACAGATTAAATCACCTGAAGGATAATCAAGACTCAGTGATTCTTGTGAGTATCCATGACAGAATTTAAAATCTTTTGACAGAAATTGTAAGCTCTAGACAGAAATTAAAAAGCATTGTTACAGAACTTCTGAATTTTTGGTTGTGAAAATGTTAAGAATTTAATTTTTTTCAGCAGTAGGTTTCTATTCTTGAAACTTTTTTTGACTAATAATTTTACAAGGAGACTTTCGTGATAACTGATACATGTATTTGACCATTTAAAGAACTATTCATGTGTTACCCATACACAGGTTTCTATCAAATTTGATGTGCTTACTTTATACTAACGGAATTAATAAATATAAATTTTTCTTTATTACTTCTTTATGATCAGCTCCAGTCATACGTTAGAATGTGGCGAGATAGAAAGAATTATAGGAAAAGACTGCAGTATTTTAAAGACCATGTAAGTACTTTTTTTTAGACATTAAAAGTGAAATTTTCCACTGAAATAAATCTTACTCGTAAAGTTTTCATGGTACATGGTTATACACACGCTTATTTCTTCTGTTTCATACAGGAAGATGCCATCATCAAAATTCAAGCTTTCTTCAGGTCAAACCTGGCCAGACAGGATTACAAGGCTTTAAGTGAGTCACAAAACATTTGAAACCATTCATGTTCTTATTCATTCACTTCAATCAACATCTTAATATTCAAGCACTCAGATTGTGGAGTATGAATTCTACAGTTGTGAATAAAAAATAAAACAGCTCTGTTGGTAATCTGCTATTACATATTTTGTAGAAATAAATTATTTCCTAAAAGCTCATGGCAAAACTGTATAATTGTTGTTTTGTTTCTTTAATGCAGCCACAGATAAGAATCCATCTTTAGCTGTTGTGAGAAAATTTGTCCATCTTCTGGATGCCAGTGACAATGATTATGCAGAAGAGCTTGGTTTGTAAATAGAAAATATAGTGAGAAATCATCTGATAACAACTTACTTAAAAATGAAATGTATCACAAAAAATGTTTGATGGAAATAAAATTTACAAATTTTAACTAGATATTCACTTAAAAGTTTGATTTAAGAAATTTTATTTTTCTCCTATATAAATTAATGTGGACATACATAAAAATGTATTGGTGTAGATAAGTCATTGGCTGATTTTATCTGAAGAGTCAGGATAAATATTTTCCCCTCTCTACAGAGCTACAGAAGCTCCGCCAGCAAGTGGTTGCAGAAATCCGTTCTAACCAACAACTGGAGCAAGACTTGGATCAAATGGATATCAAAATTGGTCTTTTGATTAAAAACAGAATTACTTTACAAGTAAATTCATTTTGTTCGCTACCATAGCGACTGGTTAATGTTGGAACAATTAATCTCATATCATTGATTAGATTCAGTCACGTGGACCTAGCTTCCAAGTTAAAATATTTAAGTAATCGGTAATGACATTATTTCATTACAGGATGTGGTGACCCACAATAAAAAGCTGACCAAACGCTCAGAAGAAAGTTCTCGTGGTGGAGGCCTGAAGGCTTTGAGTAAAGAGAACCATGAAAAGCTGGAGAACTACCAACATTTGTTCTACCTACTACAGACATCACCCAACTACCTGGCCAAACTCATCTTTGAGATGCCTCACATCCGCACAACCAAGTTTATGGAGGCTGTGATTTATTCACTGTTTAATTATGGTGCCAACCAGCGTGAGGAGTATCTTCTGACCAAACTTTTCCAGAAGGCCCTAGAAGAGGAAATAAAGTAAGTACTTAAATCTGGTCAATAGAGTCATCTTATTTTAATTCAGACTCGCTATGGCTGATAAGTGAAGCTCTAGATCAGGCCTGCACAACATGTGGGTCGCATGCGGCCCACCAGCACCCACTTTGCGGCCCGAGAAATAACAAAATATTCTTTTTTTTATTATTTTCTTAATAGCTTTCCCCCTGTCCTATTTTCTTTTGGCCCGCACAAGTTTTTCATAAAGTGTTACGGTCTTTACAGTTTGAGTTGTGCAGGCCTGCTCCAGATGATTGTCTAACAATCAAGATCATGGGCTAATTTTAAAAACTTATTATAACTTTTTTTGAAAATCTTATAATTAATGAAAATAAATTATTTGCAATTTTCTTGTCTAAGGTGATCTGGGATACCCGTTGGATTTTAAATAAAAAAAAAAAATCATATTTTCTAATTGTTTCATGAACAAATATTTAAAGGACTAATTAATTAGATGTTCAATGAATGTGGGTTTCTCACGCATCGATAAACTGAAAGAAACCTGCAATTGTGATGTTCAGCTCAGTCATTCTTAAATTGTGGCTCTTCGATCCAGGAGATACACACACAGATATATAACAAAATGAACAAATAAATTTACAGATTTTCAGTCAGAATAAAAAAAATGTGCGTGTGGTGGAACATTATTATTATCCATTTATTTACTGGGACAAATAATCAAAAAGTTTGAGAACCATTGGATTTAAAGCTTATTAGGTACTAAAATTCATATAACATTCTTTTAGAATTTATTCACCATATAAAGTTAGTTCACCATAACCATCCCTATTTGCTTACCTCAATGTTTGACATAATAGTTCTCCATCTTTCTTTGGAGCTGGGTGTAAAAGTACACTAAAATGCATATGTGCTTTTAGATGTGCGGAGGCTCGATTTGGTCAGCTTGACTAAGGCTTGGTGAATTGGCATCAAGTAAAAATAAAAAGAGCACATTTTAAACCCTAGTTCTCACCCGAACAAAGTTGACCAGGGATGAGCTTTGAAATAATTGTTGCTGTAACTTTAATTTCCCACTTTCTTTTCTGTAACATTAACCAGAAGAATGTAAGTACTTTGCATGCTGGCATTGGCATTGGTTGTTGAAGGTGGATTTGGGGAGGGAGGGTACTGTTATGATTACTGTATTACTGTTGTCTGTTATCATTACTCAGTTATTAGTATTGTCTGTTCTTGATTTTTATTAGCTATGACAGATGAATCTTGTTATTGAAGGAGTTTGAGATTTTGAACTCTTTCAATAAATCTTTGTCTGTTATTATTACTTATTTTCAAATGATAAAGCTCTTTTTTTTTCATTTTAACTGACCTCAGAATCTCTCACATAAATCTGTACCTGTGTTTAAAAATCTCTTTGTGAGAGCCACTTTGCTTCCCAAACTAGGCTAGTTTACCCACAATTCGGTAAATGTAGTTTATCTTGGGGTACCATGATTCAACAACTCACAGATCAAACATTAAAATTTAGTGTGCAATTTTAAATTATGTAAAAGCTCTTTCTGATAAGTAGTTTTAGATTATGAAGAAATTTTATTTTGTAAATGGCTGACATAAGGGCAGCTAATTCCTGTCTAATTAAACAAAATATTGGTGATTGTGTTACTTCGCCCTAGTATTTGCTATTTTCCTGTTAAAATTCACCATCATTTCTTTATGTCAAATTCATTGTTTTGAGGATTTGTATCTTCTTTTCAGATATTTGTAGTTGAAATAATGAAATTAAGAGGCTATGATGAAACTAAGGACCATATTAAAAGAATGAAATTAATAGTCTTTGTTGAAATGAGAGATCTCTGTATAAGAGATTTATAATTATAAAAATTTTGAAACTGAAATTTAAATTCCAATTGTTGGGACTTTTTTACTATACATTGAGTTATATATTTTTTACTTGCCTGCCTTTTAATTGTAAACATATACAGTGAATGGTCTTATGTGTTTGTGAACATATACAGTGAATGGTCTTATGTGTTTGTAAACATATACAGTGAATGGTCTTATGTGTTTGTGAACATATACAGTGAATGGTCTTATGTGTTTGTAAACATATACAGTGAATGGTCTTATGTGTTTGTAAACATATACAGTGAATGGTCTTATGTGTTTGTGAACATATACAGTGAATGGTCTTATGTGTTTGTGAACATATACAGTGAATGGTCTTATGTGTTTGTGAACATATACAGTGAATGGTCTTATGTGTTTGTGAACATATACAGTGAATGGTCTTATGTGTTTGTGAACATACACAGTGAATGGTCTTATGTGTTTGTGAACATATACAGTGAATGGTCTTATGTATTTTCCAGTTCGTTTGTTTTCTAAATTTAAGAATTTTCTCCATTCTTAAACATTTATTTATATTTATCTAATGAATGATGATGACCTATTGATATTGAAGTTTTTACATTCTAAACAAATTTTCATTATTTTTTCATCTTATCTAGTACTATATGTGTTTGCAATTATGTTATTCTTCATATATGTATACATTTAATTGGGTTAAGTGATTTTCCATAAAATGCAATTTTCTATCAAATATTTAGAGGTAATTAGAAAAAACAAAACATTTCTGAAAGCATTTAAAAATGAATATTCTTCCTGGAATGATTTTATTCAGCATGATTGCTCATTTTAAATTGGATATGAACAAGTTACAAAGCTGATCATTTTAAATAAAATAATTCATTGACCCAACTTGAGGACAAGAGTGAGTAAAATTATGTCTTATTAATGGATGATACAGTTATGCTGATTAGATCTGCAGTTGGATGAATGTTGGCCTTCTGATTATTTGCATGGTTCATTTACTGTGTATACCAAACATAGCTGTTCATTGTGGCTTCCTTTTGGTTTAGTCTATAAAAAGAGAAATGTAAATTAAAAGCTCATCTTAATCATGAATGCTAAAAAACACTGTTGTTTTTGCTAAGGAATTATATAAAATTATGCTACTTAAAACATTCAATAATCATTACAATGACAGATTCCACAGCAATTTTTTTTTCTATTGGGTATGAATTATTTGAATCTTATCTCTCTTTATATGAAGAATCATCTACCCAGTCATAAAATGTTTTTTTTTATAAAAACTCTTTATGTAAATTGCATTGTTCCCGATTTCTCAAGTGAAATAATATTTAAGATTTTGTTAGACAAGTTGCTAAAGAGCTAAGATACATTGAGATCAACAGTCTTTGGTCTCATTCCTACTGTCTTGATAGGAGTGCACTCATTTTCCGCTTCTAACGGGTTTTAACAATTCAATGAGCAGTATAAACAAAAATGTTAAGTTGACTTTAAAAAAGCATTTTTTTGTTTAAAGTGATGTTTTGAAACAAATAAAGATTTGAAAGGTCTTCGGTCCCACAACTCCAACCCCACAGACCTGACTTAGATTTTCTCACTGCCTGTACTATTCTCATAAATTCAAGATTTTAAATCAAATAAAATAATTGCTAACTTATTACAGTAATTGTCAGTTTTCATATTTGATCAATTGTCTTTTGTTTCAGCTCAAAAGTCGACAAGATGACAGACATTGTGACTGGCAATCCTCTAGTTGTCAAGATGATTGTTGGCTTCAACAGGTCAGCTTGAAAGCAGTTGCTCATAGTTTAATTCTGATCATCACATTATAGCACAAGTAGCTGTAGTATCGTTCTATGCAAGGGTCAGTGTCACAGACCTGTTTACTCTCACGACTTTGGCAGCGTACAATGTACGATTTTGAGGTGTATACATTTCATATACCGTATTTTTTTTTTTCTATTAAGAAAATGTATTGAACAATTTGTCATGATATTGTACGATTTTAAGAGTTTGAGGGTAAACAGGTCTGGTGTCAGCTAATATAAAGAAAAGGATTGATAGAATGAAATAAAAGATAAGCATTTTAATGTTGGGTAGTGGACATAATTAATGTGCGAAAGAACAATAACTATTTCCCCAGAAACCAGCGAGGTCAGAATGCTCTGAAAGAGATGTTAAACCCATTGATCACACGTGTGATAGAAGATAAAAATCTCCGCATCAACACTAACCCTGTGGAGGTTTACAAGGCTTGGGTCAATCAAACTGAGTCAAGCACCGGCAAAACCAGGTACAACTTATCCCATAGAATAGGTACAACTTATCTCATAGAATAGGTACAACTTATCCCATAGAATAGGTACAACTTATCCATAGAATAGGTACAACTTATCCCATAGAATAGGTACAACTTATCTCATAGAATAGGTACAACTTATCTCATAGAATAGGTACAACTTATCCCATAGAATAGGTACAACATATCTCATAGAATAGGTACAACTTATCCCATAGAATAGGTACAACTTATCCCATAGAATAGGTACCACTTATCCCATAGAATAGGTACAACTTATCTCATAGAATAAGTACAACTTATCCCATAGAATAGGTACAACTTATCCCATAGAATAGGTAAAACATATCTCATAGAATAAGTACAACTTATCCCATAGAATAGGCACCACTTATCCCATAGAATAGTTACAACTTATCCCATAGAATAGGTACCACTTATCCCATAGAATAGGTACCACTTATCCCATAGAATAGGTACCACTTATCCCATAGAATAGGTACCACTTATCCCATAGAATAGGTACCACTTATCCCATAGAATGACATTGTCAACATTTCTTTAGCTATCAAAGGGGACACTGAAATTATTCTTTGGTATTAAACACTCTACAGGTACTTTCCAAAACATGGGCACACACCACACACACACACCACACACACACACACACACAACCCTTGTTTGAAAAAAAAAGGAAAGGCTTTTAACAAAGTTAAAAAATAGTTACTAATTTTTTAAATTTTAAAAATGATTTTCATTGAGACATCAATTTTTGTGTTTATGAAAAATTATTGCCCTATTTATGATCTGAATTTCTTTTGAATCCTTAACAACACGTCTCTCACTATTTTACACTTGTCATCACTAAGTCATATTTTCTTTTTAACAGTAAGGACGAACTCTCACATAGGCTCTTTCCATTTTACATATGAACACACACCGGCCATTGCTGTGTGCTAAATGTCAACAAAGGATTTTATAAATTACTTTTTTTACAATTAGGAAAGGAAATATATTTTTTTCTAGCTGAGAGTAAAAGGTAAAAAGTACATCACTGGTGCAGGTTGTAAGAGAACTTGACTCTTATGTTTTCAGTGACCTCCCCTATGATGTGTCAACAGAACAAGCCTTGAAACATGAAGACGTGAGAATACAAATTGAGGAAACAATTAAACGATTGCAAGACATAACAGACCTCTTCCTCAATAAGATTCTTTCTTCTCTGGACAGTATTCCGTGAGTACTTGTCAAAATGCATTGCAGAATTACATTTATAACTGTTTTATCGGTGTTTTTTGACACGACTTTCACATACTGCAGTTTCACACAATATGCTTCCGCCACAATCCTTTCTTTAACTTCTCTTCTTTCTTGCTGTTAGGGACTTTCGTCTACCATTTTTCTTTATGTCCCTTTACTTTTTATTTAATGTTTAGGATATAATAATTTAAATTCAAGCAATTTTTTTTATTTTGTTTTACTGAAAAGGGCATTAGTCGAGGTTTGTATTTTGTATTTTAATTCAAGCGTATCTGAACAGTTTCACTCACACATCTTGTTTGTGTCTGTAATTTTCAAACAAATGAAAGATTGATGAAACAATGAGGGGAAAAAAGATGATTAAACATGCAAGTATCTCAGAATGAATTCTTCCTGCTCAGAATGAATTCTTCCTGCTCAGAATGAATTCTTCCTGCTCAGAATGAATTCTTCCTGCTCAGAATGAATTTTTCCTGCTCTCTTTGTGTTTTATTTGGTGATTATTTATTTTCCTCCTTATTGCATATCATTTTGATTTGTTTTTTTTTATCTGATCAAGTGCGCTTTAAGTCCATTCCTTTGATAACATTTATAGGTTTATTTTTTTAACACTTTACTAGAGTCCCCACCCTACACTCATCTTTAGAGACTTGACAATATATCACCTATAATTATAAGAATTGGAAATGATGAAAGCAATCAACAAGCATTTTGTGTATGTGACCTGTAACAAATTGAACAATAAGGGTGTGGTATTTTGTTAAGATATTGTACGTTCTCTATTTAAGAATATGACTTAACCTATACCTGTCTCCTACAGCTACGGCATGAGGTACATGGCAAAGGTCATGCGTGAGTGTTTGATCAAAAAGTTTCCTGATGCCGCGGATAAAGATGTCCTCAAGGTTTGTGAGTTATTTATTACCTGGTGGTGTGTGTCTGACCCCTTGGTAAAATACCAGTGGTTCTTAAACATTTCATTGTGCTGGACTGACAGGAATTATGCACACTGACTGTTTGTTTGTTTGTTTAGATCATCCTCATCCTAACTTTTGTTCACTTCCCAGGCTTGTGACTGAGATAAGATGAGCACTGCTCTTTAGAATGTTAGTTCATAAGATGAGCACTGCTTTAGAATGTTAGTTCATAAGATGAGCACTGCTGTAGAATGTTAGTTCATAAGATGAATAGTCACTTCCTGAAATGCCCCTTTCCATCAGTGGTTAAAGAACATAAATTAATAATGTTCTATTTTCAGTTGCTTTGCATGTGGTTAAATGTACAACATGTATTGTCTTTCTGTGAATGCAGTCTTATCACCAATTCATAATTTAAGGATGTCTTTGTGTGAATCCAGTCTTATCATCAATTCATAATTTAACGATGTCTTTGTGTGAATGCAGTCTTATCATCAATTCATAATTTAACGATGTCCTTGTGTGAATGCAGTCTTATCACCAATTCATAATTTACGATGTCTTTGTGTGAATCCAGTCTTATCATCAATTCATAATTTAACGATTTCTTTGTGTGAATGCGGTCTTATCACCAATTCATAATTTAACGATGTCTTTGGTTTTTGGTAAACTCATCATTAACTTCAATTCAATGTATTGTGTAAGTAAATCATCCACTATTTCCAGATTGTTGGTAATTTGTTGTACTACCGATATATCAATTCTGCAATTGTGGCCCCAGACGCATTCGACATTGTTAATGTTGGTGCTGAGAAAGCTCTAACAAATGACCAAAGACGAAACCTCGGTTCCATCGCCAAAATTCTCCAGTTTGCTGCCTCTAATAAAGGGGTAAAGTATTCTTTACACTCACATTTTTGCATCTCAATCTGTTAGCTGATGTCAACAACTTTTTATTATGTTAATATTTAGTTTGTCTTTCCCTACTTACAATCAGTGTTTAAGATAAGCTAATTTAATTGAATATGTTCCAATAATCCACAGTTTGGTGGAGAAAGTTCCTATCTGGCAAGTATGAATGACTACATCAGGAATGCCCATGAAAAGTTTAAGTAAGTTAGTTTAGAATATTTCCATCTTGTTTAGGCTAATCTATATTATATTATCAACAGAGTTAAGATTTCCTTGTTAGTTTAAAAATTAAAAAAAAAATATTTGTATCTCTTACGTGTGTACTTACATCAACACATCAGTGTTTTTGGTTTTCTCACAACGTGGTTTGTCTGTTTCCAGGAAATACTGCCTGGCAGCTTGTGATGTGGAGGATCCTGAAGTCAGATTTAATGTAGACCAGTACAGCGATGTAACCATGATCACCAAACCTGTTGTCTACATTTCTGTTGGGGAGATTGTCGACACGCATCAGGTAAGATACATTTTAGGTGCGACACACAGCTAAGATACATTTTAGGTGCGACACACAGGTAAGATACATTTTAGGTGCGACACACTGGTAAGATACAGTTAGTTTAGATTGACATGAGGTACATTTAAATCTGGTTTTCAACTAATATCTTTATTGATTTTTCCTTTAAAAAAAAAAGTAGAACATTTTCAAGTACCCGGTATAATAAATTTACTGTGTTGGTATCAGTATATTCTCAAAATGTTAATTTCAAACTAGGCATTTTCCTGAGTTTAATTTCATTTCTTAGATGAGACAGTGTCTAATATATTGTCATCAAATAATGAAATAATATATCTTCAAGTTTATCTGCACTGACATCTTGATCCCACCAGTTACTACTACAGCATCAAGAGACAATTGCCCCCGAGCCCTCAGATCCCCTGCATGAGTTACTAGAGGACCTTGGTGAGGCACCGTCCATCGATGACCTTCTGGGTACAGCTTTAACCAAAGATGAGACAACAAATGATGCCCTGAGAGCACAGATGGCTAAGACAGAAATCTCACTGACATTGTCCAACAAGTTTGATGTACACACAGATGATAAGGCTGACATGAAATCTTTGTTAATCAGGTTTGTTACTTTAGAACTGGTGTGCTGGAGCCAATGATGTCACTTGCAAAATAGAATAATTTAGACCTTATGTCAATACTGCAATGGACACATGAGACTCCTTCTTTACTCACCTCTTCAAAGCTTGCTCACTCTGCAGTTAGACAGACAGCAAGCAAGGAAATGTCTCCCACTACTTTCCTGACCAGGCACCACTGGTGCACTAGTCACTATGGTGTCTGAAGTTCTGGTTGGAAATATTAGTGATCTCCATTTACACACACACAAACACCCCACCCCCATCTCGTAAACCACACCCCCCCACCCCCCCACCAATATAGTAAATAATTTGTTAACACCTAGTATTTAATCTCCTTAATGCCCCCCCCCCCAGAACCAAGCGTATGATTGTTGACGTCATAGCGTGTCAGCCAGGTGATAACCTTGTTGTTGTGTTAGAAGCCCCATGTAACCAACAGCAGGAGGAACTCCATCAGGCTCTGGTGAAAAAAAGAGACCTCATCGATAAAAAGGTGGCACAGTCCCAGACAGAGGGCAAGAAGTTGATGAGACATGCATCCATTCTAGGGGACACCAGGTTAGTTAGAGTCTATTGATGATATGTTTTTGTTCTAGGGGACACCAGGTTAGTTAGATTCTATTGATGATATGCTTTTGTTCTGGTGGACACCAGTTTAATAAGATTCTATTGATTAGACATGTGTCTATTCTTGGGGCCATCAGGTTAGTTAGATTCTATTGATTAGACATGTGTCTATTCTTGGGGCCATCAGGTTAGTTAGATTCTATTGATTAGACATGTGTCTATTCTTGGGGCCATCAGGTTAGTTAGATTCTATTGATTAGACATGTGTCTATTCTTGGGGCCATCAGGTTAGTTAGAATCTACTGATGAGGCATAATTCTATTTTTTGAGATACCAGGTTGATCAGAAATTGTTAAGGAATGCTCCTCTAATTTCATTGGGTCCTTGGCATTGAATAAGAATTAAAAAATAGCAGGGATCCTCCATTGTTTGAGACCGCTCCTGCCAAGGAACAATAATTTAAAAATCTCACTTGATTTAGTTGATTAAGTTAGTTTGGCAATTGCCATGTGTACTTGTTCAGAAACCTGTTCATTCATAAGCAGACCCCCTTAGTTTTGGCCAGGGGTGTAACCTGCTCATAAGCAGACCCCCCTTAGTTTTGGCCAGGGGTGTAACCCGCTCATAAGCAGACCCCCTTAGTTTTGGCCAGGGGTGTAACCCGCTGATATGCAGACCCCCTTAGTTTTGGCCAGGGGTGTAACCCGCTGATATGCAGACCCCCTTAGTTTTGGCCAGGGGTGTAACCCGCTGATATGCAGACCCCCTTAGTTTTGGCCAGGGGTGTAACCCGCTCATAAGCAGACCCCCTTAGTTTTGGCCAGGGGTGTAACCCGCTGACATGCAGACCCCCTTAGTTTTGGCCAGGGGTGTAACCCGCTCATTCTTCTTCTCTATTTTGAGGGCCCACGATCAATGGATTGATCATTCTGGTTTCTATGTTTTGTTCTCAGACTACCTATAGAAGTGATGAAAACAAAGGTGAAGGCCAACCTTCAAACACTAGAGCTTGCTGGGATGGTTAGCAAACAGAACAAGTACCAAGACTTGTTGAACGCTATTGTACAGGTAACCAATGGCGGGCAGACCAAAGGGAGATAAATTTGCAACATAGCAATAGCCTGAAACAAATCTTAACAAATAATTATTGCTTTCCAGTAATTTTAAACAGTACCACAAATTGTCACAGGAAATCACATTTCATTTTTAAAAACTTTTTCACAGGATATTAGGAATCAGCGTCGTTACCGCAACAATCGCAAACAAGAGTTGATGAGACTTCGTGCCACCCTCAAAAGCCTCAGTGAGAAACGCACATTTTATGAATCTCAGATTGACTACTACAACCAATATGTCAAGACCTGTATGGACAATCTACAGAGTAAAACAAAGTCAGTTTCTTTTATACATATAATTTTTTTCTGTTCTATGTATAAGTTAGTTTTCTGGGCCATTCACAAGCTCTGTGATGACAATCTGGAAATGTGTATATTTTAACTTTGATTCCACTGACAGGAAGAACAGAAGATCTGGCCTCTTCCGCCGAGGTGACCAGAAGAGCAAAGGCTCTATCACATACACAGCTGCTCGTCTTCATGAGAAAGGTGTTGTTCTGGAAATCGAAGGTTTACCACAAAACCAGTGAGTGTCCAGTGCTTTGATTTGTAGTCCATTATAAATCATTAAGTTCAAGTTAGTCTGACACCTGTCTTACTGTTAGACTAAATGCTATTCACATCTGGCTCAGTGTATCCAGTACTTAGGAAATCTTTCTGTTGGTGAGACCAAGGGGTATTCTCATAGGGGTCAAAAACTTCTAGTGCCTGATAGTGATGTCAAATATGTCTTCCAGGTTCAAGAATGTCATGTTTGAGATCAGTTCAACAGAAGATCCTGGAGTCTTTGATGTCAATGCAAAGTTTATGGGGGTCAGCATGGACAAAGTGGAACTTGTATTTCAGGTGAGTGTCTTGATGTCCACTGGACTGATTCCTCTGAGGAATTCTTTATGCTATATTTCAGGCCTGCACAACTCAAAATGTAAGGCGGGCCTTAAAACTTTATGAAAAACTTGTGCGGGGCAAAAGAAATTAGGACAGGACTTGAGCAGGCCAAAAGAAAATATTGGGGGGAGGGTGGATTAAGAAAATATTAAGAATAAAGAATATTTCTTCACTTCGCAGGGGGCGGCCTGCGGGCCCTATGTTATGCAGGTCTTATGTTGTGCAGGTCCTATGATGTGCAGGTCTTATGTTGTGCAGGTCCTATGTTGTGCAGGTCTTATGTTGTGGTGGTCTTATGTTGTGCAGGTCCTATGTTGTACAGGTCCTATGTTGTACAGGTCCTATGTTGTGCGGGTCTTCTTTATTTGATTGCACTTAACCTCAGTAATCCCCACTGTTGTTATTTTCAGGATTTGCTGCAACTTCAGTATGAAGGTGTTGCTGTGATGAAAATGTTCAACAAGGCAAAGATCAATGTTAACTTGCTGATTTTCTTATTGAATCGTAAATTTTACGGCAGGCAGCTCGGCAAGTAGGCTGAGAAACTTTTAAATAATTTTTTTTTTTTTTTTAATGTTCAAAATTGCACGTGGGGGGGTAGGGTGTGTGTGTGTATCTAACAAATAATCTAGTTCTTTTTGTGTAGAGATAAACTGGACCCACAGCGGATGATATTATTTCTGGTGCTTCATTCAAGTCTGTGTGTATGTTTTTTTTATCTGAGAGCAAGTTTTACCTGTGTGTAAGTTTTATCTGGTTGTAAGTTTTGTATGGGTGTAAGTTATATCTGCATTCATTTGTCGGCTGAGAGAATGAGTCTACCTTTAATGTTATCTTATTTTTTTAGACTTGCCAATAATATGCCACAATTAAAATGTCTTTGTTACTAAACTACAACCAACTGAATACAGGTATGTAGTCCTGCTGGTTTGTTCAAATGGAATTAATTTAAAACTACTGCTGTAATTCCTATGGGAATTTCTTTTACTAAAGTATAAGATTTATTTATCTAGTTACCGGTATATACAATAATTGTGATTGGAGACAGACGACAAATAAACCATTACAAAATTTTGTGATTTCAATTTTTTTCTGGATAAAATTGTTCTCATATACGCTAAACATATAGTATAAATTTCCATCAACTGATTTACAACTTAATTCAGGCAAATTCAAGTAAGTGGAACCCTAACTTTAGAAACTTTGAAAAGTGAATTTCTGTGCAGTGATTATTTATACAGTAGGATTTTAAGATGGTTTTTCTTTCATCATGAGATGGGGAGTAATTAAAAGTATATGTGCCAGTTAATGCAGGCAATCTGCTGCAATGTGAAACATTTCCAATCTTTTCATTACTATGTTTACCTTGTAAGTGTGTTTTATGAAATTTGTTACCTCTAACATGTTGTATTCTTCCTCGTTAGCTGTTGTAATTAATAATCAAAATTCACTAAAGTTTTAATGAATAGATGATTTTACTCAACTCCAAAATGATTTAATATTTGATGCATTGGTGAGAATTCTAAAAACCATTACCACTCTAATAAATAATATCCCCCTTATTAAGCTTCTGTTTAATTTTTAAAAAATCACAAAATCTAATGTATCAGGATTTATTTTTTCCATTATTAAATTTAGTTGATATTTTTTTATTAGGGATGAAAGGTTTAAGAGATATTTCATTTTCGATCTTGATAAATATCCATATCATTTCCCATTAGTTGGTTAGACAAAGAACTTGGTTGTTAGACAAAGAACTAAGAACTTGGTTGGTTAGACAAAGAACTAAGAACTTGGTTGGTTAGACAAAGAACTAAGAACTTGGTTGGTAAGACAAAGAACTAAGAACTTGTTTGGTTAGACAAAGAACTAAGAACTTGGTTGGTTAGACAAAGAACTAAGAACTTGGTTGGTTAGACAAAGAACTAAGAACTTGGTTGGTTAGACAAAGAACTAAGAACTTGGTTGGTTAGACAAAGAACAAAGAACTTGGTTGGTTAGACAAAGAACTAAGAACTTGGTTGGTTAGACAAAGAACTTGGTTTGTTAGACAAAGAACTAAGAACTTGCATTTAAATGGGTTTATCATGTTTGGATAGCTACAGGGTTATTTTAAAAACTTTTTATTTTTCACCCTCCTCCCCAAAATTTTGAAGCTTCTGAGGGCACCAGATTTTTTAACTTTTACATTTATCCCAAAGTAATTGTATAAAGTTAAAATTTGTTTAAAACAACTAGATCTGATTTGTTATGCTAAATCTCACCCTTTTAAACAAAAATTTTAAGGTGCACAAATCACAGATGCAAATCAATTTAAAAACACTTTACACTTTTACTTTGACAAACTTGTGCCTTGATGTTATGTAGCTTATAAGCCATTATTGTGTGGTGGTGATTTTTAACTGATAAAATGCCTTATGTTTATACAGACCTACCTTCCATCAACAACTTCAGTTTTAAGATACAATAATTGTATGCATAATAGCATTTTCTTTTGTAGGAATTTCTTTTATTTGTGACAGTTTGAGAATGGTTGAATACATTGTTGCTATGAAGGAAGTTTAAGTCTTCTCTTTGCCATGTATTAAAACTCTGAATGGAATTAGTTCAGTTTGCATAATGTCAAAAAATTATAATACAGCAGTCAACAGGATCTTTTTATTGAATGATGATTGGGGCGATTGAAAATTTGTTTTAAGAATGTTATAAAAAAGAAAAGCAGTACACTCCATGTTATTTATATTGGCTAGGCTTGTCTGTATTTTACACAAACATATATAATATGTTGTTTGCAAGGAGATGAAATTGTGTAGTGCTTTATTACCAGGGACTTTAGGAATGAAGCTGTCAAAGATGATAGCTTGAATTAATATTGTAAAGTGCCAAGATTGAACATTGATGCTGTGGTCTTATTTTTAATGTGTACAACTTGAATAACATTGTTGCATGTTTCAATGAAAATATATCTGCTTATATATATATATATAAGTTCATTTATAATCTGCTTTCACAAGAAGGGGGTTCACATTTCTTTCTTGTAAGATCTGAATAAAACTCTGCTTTTAATCTTTTATTATACACCCAATTGAGGTACAGTTTTAAAAAAAAGATGTACAAGTTATTGGGAAGAAGTCAGATCTAATGTTAACAGTCTGTACACTGTTCAATCACTATGAGGACCAGTCTGTACACTGTTCAATCACTATGAGGACATCATTTCATTCCAAATATAGTTTGACCAATTTATGTTGTTGCAGCATTTTTCATAAACTAGAACCAATCCATTTAAATAACTTTATACTCATTGCCAATGCTTTTCAGTTAGAAAATGTTAGCATTTGATTTATTTCACATGAACTACTAGTTTTCAAGAATTAAAATGTGATGGAGAATATTTCATACTTCCAACTTTTAGAAAAATAAATCTGTACCATACACATTAAAGGGCTGAGACACTGAAGTAAAATTGATAAAATTGCAGAATTTGCCATTCCTTTTTCTCTTATTTTACATATTGAAACTAGGCTGTATACTTTTATAAATAGTAAATTTACTTTTGAAACACAACTGCTGTTTTGTTGGGTTTTTGTTGTGTGTGTTTATTTTTCCATCTTAATTTTCAAGAGAATGATTGCTGAACTGCATCATATTATGTGCTGCTATAAAATTCTTAATAGCTTATTTCTGAATATAATTTTTATAGTGTTTAAGATTTTTTAAATTTCTTCCAGCTATGGTTTGCTGTTAAAATAGTTTTGTGTTAATCAAAATTTCTAAAGCTTTTAAAGTTCTATCTGTATAACACAATTAAATTTTAAACATTTTTTATTTTGATTTTAACAAATGTGATAGAATGAACAAACAGTGACAGTCTCAAAATATGAATTTATTTCTACATCCTCAGGTAACAATAAACAGTAGCTGCTAAAATATTTGGTCTACATTTGCAATTATTTAGTTCTAAAAGTGTTCACAAACATTGCTCAAAAGTAAGAGACAATGTAAAATAAATGCTTGGATGCACTAAGACATCAATGACATTTTGTTAAAATAATAATCATCGGCAGGGATAAAAATGTATTGCAAAGTTTACAATAAACATAGAAATGCAGTTAACAACTCTCTAACAATGTTTCAAAATTATTGTAAGGACCAAACAAAAACAAAAAAAAAATTACCACAGATGCAATTAAGTCTAGGGTCCATTGATTGATCCATAAAAGTTGTAATAATAAATTAAATCATTATCTTAGCCTAAGAAAGTAGTCGGAGACAAATTAAGACCAATTCAAGTTGTCATAATAAATAAAATCAATGATGTGCCAATATTTCAGACCACAATTTCATTGGTGCTGAGTGTAACTGAGTGGAATGATTCACTACAAACAAATGGTTGTTAAAATAAATCACTTTTGAGTAGCGGCAGAATAAACAAAGTAGGTACACTAAGTAGTAAGAAGAAAGCAATGATAAATAATTTAATTGGATACAGTTTTGTTTAATGTGCATCAAATAGTAAAGGTCTTTTTACAAAAATACTAAAGGGAAAGGTCATGGTCTTTTGCTATTAACTTATTAATATAATCCTGCGATAGTCACCAGGAATAATACTTATTTAACACTCTTGTATCTAATAGTACGGTATATTTAGAAAGTCGGCCATTTAAATATTCTTACATTTACATAAAATACATACGAGGAGGATTATATAATTTCAGTTTTACATATTAAATCTCCCAGAATGTTTTTGAGCTGCAAAAGTACTGATATAATCCAGGCTACATGAGAATTTTTTGGAAATCAAATTCTGGGACTTACATTTTTTTGTCAATAAAACTAGTGTTCTCATTGCAGCTCATGCAAAAGTAGTAGCACATGACATTCTATATTTGAGAAGAATATACCAAAAATTTAACTATAAACTTTATATATTTTTGCTCAAGATTCATAAACAACCAGAATGCAGTTAGATGTTTAGAATTATACTAAATTAAATTTTTTTTTTAAAACCTAAATTTAAATGCTCTATTACATTTACATATGCCAATAATATAAAATGTCTCATCTTTCCCCATGAAATCTAAAAGATTTAACTTGGTTGATGAAATATAAAAGCTCACCCTAATAATGTTTCTTATTCTTAAGTGATGTTGAAAATAATTAAGGGAGTTGAACAAACAGGTATGTGACTAAATTAACAGATGAGGGGGATGATTGTTTTCTATAACAATGAAAAAAATAAATATATGGTAAGAACCACAAAAAAACTCGCATATTAAGATTTTTAAATTTTACAAATTATTAGTCATTTTTTTTCCCTTAGATAATTGCTAATTTAAGGCTGGTTATCTCTTCAAATAAGAAAATAATACATTTCTTGATAAACTTGGTTTTGTCACAAGAGTTTAATCACTGAACAATAATGACATTAAGTTACTTAGAAATTGTTTAAACAATTTAACACTAATTTTTTTTCTTCTTTCCATAAAATATATTATGGTAAAATTTAGTCTCTAACGCCCTTATAGACTAAAATGGTTGTAGGTTTTCAAAATGTGTTACTTTTCTGTACCAGTAGTCACATGTTCAAAATGTCTTATTTTAGTTACAGTATTCTAGGAGCTTTAAAATATCCTTTGACTTTGTTGTGAATTTTTGCCAAAGAAATAAAGGAATAAATTGTCTTGAAGTCAACAGACAAAATTTAAGTATAAAATGTATGACTAAAAGCATTACATTCACTGGAAAAAGGTAAGACTTGTAAACTCAGCTAAAAAATAATGATACAACAGATGACCTCATACTCTACAACAATTGTTTGATTTAAAACTATCTTGTTAATTACGAGTTAAAAAAAAAATAATTGCATCTTTGTAAGTCGTCCCCCTGGAATAACAAGGTTCTAAGTTGATCGGATTAAATAGGCACATAGAACCTTGTTATTCTAGGGGGACGAAGTCCTAAGTCTTAAGGGAGATCAAACTATTAATTATTTCTGAAACTTAAATTATCTTAGCTGAACTGAGTTTGATCTTTTACCTTTGCAGGATTTTTTTGCAGTAAAATTTTAAACAAGAACAAAATAACATAGCTTCATGGGATATGTGAATACTATTCAAAATTCTTTGTGATGAGATTCTAAATAATAAATCATTATCAGGGTGAAAAATTGAATAAAAAAGTTCAAAAAGTCTATTTCATGAGGCGTTCATAATTTTATAGTATATTAAATTTTTTGGTAATCTATTTGACATAGCTAATCAAATAATTTTTTTAAAACCGGTATCACTTTGTCTAAAGAAATAGCAATACTGAAATAAAAATGATGCAGGTACAAGAAATGAGAAAAGATATAAATAGCACACAACTGGGTTAACTAAAAAAATGTTTAGCATCTAAACAGAGAAGATTTTATTATTAAAACAAGAATAGAGTTTAAACAAAAATTAAAGATTAGTGCACCATCACGAAGACACAATAATTAAGTACAGTACAAAAACAAACATAAAATAAACAAGTCCTTAAAAAGGAGGATTTCTCTGATTAGTATGCAGTTCAGCTCTGGTTAGAAGAGTAACACACACACACACACAAAATGTAGCACTGTTATACAATGTGCTCCTCAGGTATTAAATGCGCTATTTGGCAGGTCTCATAAATATCTGTCACAGTTTTGATGCTACAAAGTTGACATTAATACAAAGCCAAAAGGTCATGAAGAAATACAAATGACAAAAATGTCTTAAATAAACTCGCTTGTCAATTAATGATGAGATTGTAATTGTGACAAATGTAATGTGATGCTATGAGGCTAGACCAAAAAAAAACATCGAAAACGCTCAAAGAAAATTAGATGTTTTGTTATTGTTTAAAGAAATACATGGCAAAACAATATCAAGCTCATATGGCCTGTACTGAAATAATGAACCTGCTGAGCTGAATAAAACTTTCACTAATCTCAGGTCATCACTCAAGTAGACCTTGCTTTAAAATATAGATGAGCATTATTTTTTTGTAACTACAAAAAAGAAAGCATCTTAAACCAAGGATAGAAAAAAACAGCAGAACTGGTTGTTGTTTTTACTAACAATAAAAAAACCTACTGCTGGTATAGACACAAAAAAACAACCACAAGCAAAAAAGGACTTAAAAATAATATGCGCTTGGTTAATACAAAAGAAATTTCTGGTTTAGTTGAGACCTCACGCAAATGGGCCATTATCTAGACATACTTATGAGAAAAACTTAACATCACAGCAGAGTCATTTTCCTTTGATGACTAGATGCATCACACATTCAGTTAAATTTCATCCAATTTTTTAAAAACAATTTTAAACTGAGATTCATAAGAAAATAAAATAAAATTGTAACAATTTTAAATTTAGTAACCAAAAAAAGAGTATTTACAAGACCAAAAAATGGCCATTTAAAAAAATGGCTGTGGTAAATATACTGTCAAAAGATTTGAACAAAAGCCAAGACAAAAGAAATCTGGGCCCAAAAATATTCAGCCATTTTAAATGCAAACAAAATTGAAATAAAACTAATTATCTTCATTAAATCCATACAACTTCAAGTGTAGGTATTTAAAAAAATAAATCTGAGAGCCTCATATTTTCTATTAGTGTACGGGTACCTAAATTAAAAAAGATTTTAAAAATTTAATTAATTTAATGATTATAATTTCCAAATTATGGCCCCTATAAAAATTCTTGGTTTTAAACATGATTCAAATTAATAAGCACTTAGACCAAATTATCAGTTACTAAAGCAGTTTGCTTAATTTTTTATGCTTTAAAAAAAAATACAAGATTGTAATTGTAAAAAATTCCTCTTTGTTTAGTTGAGAACTGAGTTATTTTATGTTCAATGTGTTCTTGTATTTTGAATATTGCAATTTTTGTAAAGTAATACTGGCAAAAATAAGACTTATTGCATGATAGATTTTGACTGTTGCTTGCAATCATAAAAAGCAGATAGAAATGAATGTTTGCATGCTACCAAATGCCATGATAAATGATATGTCCACTTGTCCAAGAAGAATGGATTAGAAGTAACATGACATATGAATAGAACAAACAAAACTTTCTCAATAAATGATTACAAAATATATCTAGTCTCATGACGACCCCACAAAATATATCTAGTCTCATGACGGCCCCACAAAAACAAGTTTGGCTTGGCAAACAAAGCTTTTCTTGTGGACTGTCTTACATGGAATTCTTGGCTTAAAGTGTCCCTTTCTTTAGTTCCAGGATAAAACTTGAAGATTTAAAGTGCAGCGCATACACTGAAATTAAAACTGGACTTTAAAATCATCCTGATGTAGATGGAATCCCTTTTATTAATTATATGAGGGTTTGACTGCAATCAAGCTTTTAAGTAGCTTAATGAGACACACAAAATTTGTGTGTATACTACACTTTATGCTAAGCTTTAATTAGGATAGGTAAAATACAAATGTCAAACGTTTCAATTTGTATTTTGTCTTATCATGTTAAAGCTTAACATATCTTGTATTACTTGAACAAATTGTTTCTGTCTCATTTTTAAATTAAAACCAGAGAG